ATATTACCGTTCAATATGGGTGTGCGGAGACAACGAATTATTTTCTTTTTTTCTCTCTCTCTCTATCTCTCGCTCTCTCTATCTCTCCTCTCTCTCTCTCTCTCTCTCTCTTCTCTTCTCTCTCTCTCTCTCTCTCTCTCTCTCTCTCTCTCTCTCTCTCTCTCTCTCTCTCTCTCTCTCTCTCTCTCTCTTATTTTACTAGACCGGCGCTTTGTGGCTCGGTGTTTAAGCATGGGAGGAACACTCGCATGCAAGCACAAATGCATTCAGTCAAATTCACAGGCAAAGGCAAAACGCAAGCGCCTAGATGAGTGAGCGCGCGCAGAAATCACGCACGCACGCGTAAACTCACGCACGCACGCACTCACACACACACACACACAGCACACACACACATATACTCACACAGAGTAAAATAACAAAAAATATATGTAAAAAAAGTAAAAAGACTCACCGCTGCTTTTGAAAGGCGATTGACGAATTCCTCCAGATGTTTCTATCATATAACATATAATATTCGTCAAGCAAACACATATACTCGTCTTCGCCATAGAGGGAGAAGCACCACGATATCCCCGACGTCTGCTTGCAAGCACCGAAGTCGCTCTTTGCTTGTTCGCTTGTTCCACCACTGATAGGCCTTTCAAATCCGCATAACACTGTTCACTTGTTCCATTGTTCAGTTCTGGCAAAGAGTTGGGGAAGCGGGGTGGGGGGAGAAAAGGGAGGGGGGGAGGAGGGGGGTCCGGCACAGGTGGCTGGCTATCCACCATCTCTTATTCACGACAGGTGTGTGTGTGTGTGTGTACTTTGTCGATGTCTTCTGTGCATTCGTGTGTGTGTGTGTGTGTGTGTGTGTGTGTGTGTGTGTGTGTGTGTGTGTGTGTGTGTGTGTGTGTGTGTGTGTGTGTGTGCGCGTGCGTGAGTGCGAGTGTATGTTTGAATGCATGCGAATATGCCTGTGAATGTGCGAGGGGGGGAGGGGGGAGGGGGGGCGTCCTCCCGAGCGCGGCCACACATCGACCTCGGCGTGAAACCTTGGCTGACCAACTTTCACCTCCAGGAAGGCGTCCGCGGGATCTATGTCGCGGTGCCCACGTGGCGTGCTATATTGAGGCTCTGGGCGCGGCACCGGCCCTGCTGGAGGAGGAGGAGGAGGAGGAGGAGGAGGAGGAGGAGGAGGAGGAGGAGGAGGAGGAGGAGAGGAGCGGCGGCGGCAAGGCATAGAGAGCTAGCTGTGATAGAATGAGTGTGGGTGGAGGAGCGCTGGAGTCTTTATAGTAGTTGTACTGAGGGCCGTACTCATCTCCTTTAGCGAGGGGAGAGAGAGAGAGAGAGAGAGAGAGAGAGAGAGAGAGAGAGAGAGAGAGAGAGAGAGAGAGAGAGAGAGAGAGAGAGAGAACTAAAGTGGTGCAGTGGGTGTGACCGTGTGTTTGGCGAGCGGGTAGGCGGCACCAATGTCAGGTAGGGTGGGGGAGGGGAGGGGAGGGGAAGGCACGAAGCAGAGAGGAGAGAGGGAGAGAGGGAGAGAGGAGAGGGAGAGGGAGAGAGGGAGAGGGAGAGAGGGAGAGCGAGGGAAGCAAAGGAATGAGGTTCCGCTGGAGGTGGTGGTATTGGCGCCCGTCTCGCTGGCGGCGGAATCCAAGGGGAGTGCGGTTGCTGAGCGCAGATAGGCCTCCACTCGCCGACTTCGCTGTTGCCGAGTGCCGCTGCCTTCCCTCCCCGCCCCCGCCTCTCCCTTTATCCCCCCCCCCGCGTCCTCGCCGTCTGACACCCGCCCAGCTGATGGCCGGCCGCGCCCGCACCGCCGCCGCGGTTTCTCCCGTCCGCCAGCGGGGACGCGTCGGCGGCGGCGGCGGCGGGCGGGCGGCCGGAAGGAGCGCGAGCGGCTGAGGTTGCAGACGGCCGGACAGGTGGTCCCCGCGGATCCAGCTCGAGGCGCAGATGGTCACTGCTCGCAGAGTCAGATGACTGGCACACGCGGCGGCTGATGTCCTCCTTGTCGGCAGCACGTGGCGGGCGCGGGCGTGGGCGGGGAGCGAGGCCGTGCCGATCGGCGCCACCACAACCACGGCAACCACCACACCGCATCTACCACAGAACCGCCGCCGCCGCCAGCAGCTGGTGCAGTGCAGAGGCTGGCGGTGCGGGCGGAAGGACCGTCACGTAACGGGCGGCACTCGATAGGTCAGCCGCCGCCGCCGCCGCCTCGTGGCCGCTAAATATAGTCTTAGGACATTCCCGCCCCACGCCGTCCTGCCGCCCTTCCTGGCACTCCAGCTCGGCCTGCAGCTCGGCGGCTCCTGAGGGCGGGGGAGGGAGCGCGGCCCCGAGACGCGGCGGCGGCGGCGAGGCAGCGGGGAGCCAGGGCGTGGTGGCGGCGCGGAGCGGCTGGCGGGGTTGTGCTCCGCTCCGAGCTCGCCGTGGAAGTGGCGGAGCGGCCGTCAGCCGGCCTCGCAGACGGCCGTGCCGCAGCCACTCGCTGGCACTTTAGACCCAC